GGCTGCATGATTAAGCGGCGGATGGTGGCCTCCGGTCGGTGACCAACGCCCACGCCTAGCGGCCTTAGTATGCGCTCAGTGGCTTCGGAGACGTTACTCACGTAGGGCAAGACACGGAAGATTTCTGGTCTTTGTTTCTTCTCACCGTCCGTCTTCGTGTGCCTTCGGTACAAGCATTTGTTCACAAAACTGCGTGGGTATCCATTGGCAAGGAAGAGACGCCATAGGGTTTTACGCTCCCGCAGCTTCTCGGCTTCTGTGCTGCAGTGTGTGTGGATGCGGCGAAAAAGGGTCCGGACACAACTGCGTTTATGCGACAGTGGGTGATTGCTGTTGTAATGAAGAATTTTCTCCGTGTCTGTCGCCTTTCGAAAGACACCAGTCTGGAGGGTTCCGTCTTCCTGCCTCGATACCTGGACGTCGAGGAAAGGGAGCACTCCGTTATTTTCTTCCTCCATGGTAAATTGGATTTGTGGAAAAACTGAGTCCAATTCTCTTTTAAAGTTGTCTTTCGCGTCTCGGTGTAAGATGACGAAGGTGTCGTCTACGTAGCGCATCCAGAATTTCGGCTTGTATGTCTGGAAGACCCGCGTTTCCAGTTCCTGCAAGACCGCCTCAGCCAGGTAGCCGGAGATTGGGGACCCCATTGGGGCTCCTTGGATTTGCTCGTAAATTTGGCCGTTAAACGTGAAGTACGTGTGTAAACAGTAGTCCAGTAGTTCCATCGCGTGCCTCCTCTTAAAAGGTTTTCCTTCTTCGTCGTACCTTTTCTTCAGTAGGTCATCGACAGCTCTCATGGCCAATTCCTTAGGGATTGAGGTGAATAGAGAGACGACGTCAAAAGATACCATTATTTCGTCGGGGGCTATTGTGACGTCTTTTAGTCTTTCCAGGAAGTGTGTTGACGATACAGCTGTGTGTTCTGAGCCGTCCGTCAGCTTCTTCAAATGCTTGGCAAGCCATTTAGCCAGTCCGTATGTAGGCGTGCCTTTCAGCGCCACAATGGGCCGTAGGGGGACATTTGGCTTGTGGATTTTCGGCAAACCATAAAAGCGTGCTAGGGCAGCATCTTGGGGTTTCATTTGTCTCCAATCCTTTTCTGATATTGCCTTTTCTTTCCTCATCTGGTTCAGGCTCTTGTTGATTTGGCCTACCAGTGCTTTCATGGGGTCGGAGTCGATGACTTTATATGATTGTCCGTCATTTAGTAGCTGCTGCGCTTTGGTAACGTACTCCGACTCCTATATCCATATATATATATATATTGGATAGCTGAGGTACTGTTCATTCAGAGTTAATATGATGAAGATAGAAAGCTCGTCGGAAAAATATCGAGTTGTACTCGTGAATTTTCAAGCTAATGACACCAACCCGTCGTCAGAAGGAATAAACAGTGGAGAAAGTTAACTGGTCAGCATTAATTTGTTGGCGTGATAGGGCGGCCATTGACAGACAAGCTAATAATATATGAATGGGGGTGGACAGGTAATTATGCTGGGATCCGTGGCGGGGGAGTGAAGGGGGAATTGTTGCGGTTCCCTGTGTTGGAGGGTAGGGGAATGACGATTCAGTGGAACTATGGACGGTGGACTTTTTTTCGTCTGATGAGGGGTTGGTGTCACCAGTTCGAAAATTCACGAGTACAACTCGATTTTCTCCGACGAGCCTTCTATCTTCATGTATATATGTATATATTTATATTTGAAAAGAGATGGGTTTTTTGGGACAAAAGGGTTTATTGCGTAAATTTTCGACGTTGGTTCCCCAGGTCGTCGTCAGACGCAAGCGGAAAGCAAATGTGAGAGCAAGAAACAGTTAACATCAAGAGTGCACAAAAATCGATACTTGCATTGCGTGTGCGCCGGTAGGCGGCCGCCGTGTGTCAGTCTGAGCTGGTTGGCTCCCTTCTCTTCCATTTCTCCTTCAGGTTTCTGTACACGACATCCAACTCGATATGCCGGTTGATGCATGATTCATCAGAGTGCATCGCCTCGAGTAATTCTCGGCCTTTCTTGAAAGGGCAGACCGTTACAACGCGAACTTTGTCCCAAGCGAAAGTGTGCCCGGTGTCCAGCGTATGCATGGCTACCTGAGACAGATGGTCTCGCCTCTTTACTGCCAACCGGTGCTCATGGATGCGTGTTGAGGCGGATTTTCCTGTCTGGCCACAATAGACGGCAGTACATGCATCACACGGTATCTTGTAGACGGCCGCTTTCTTTTCCAGCTGATTAATCCTATCCTTAGGATGTACCAGCTTAGAGCGCAAAGTAGTCGTAGGTTTGTGCGCCACTCGAATTGGGTGCTTCCTTAAGTGTCTTTCGACGAGCTCAGACACATTCTTAATGTAAGGAAGAGTTCGCCAAGTGTTTAATTCAGGCGTCTGATTGGAACTACCCGGCTCCTTCTCCCTTGATTCTCGCTGCTTCATGAATCTGCGTACAAAATCCTCAGGTTTCTTGCTTTCACATTTGCTTTCCGCTTGCGTCTGACGATGACCTGCGGAACCGGCGTCGAAAGTTTACGCAATAAACCCTCTTGTCCCAAAGAACCCATCTCTTTTCAAATTATATCGCTTGGGATGCCTACCTTTCAATAATTACGCATATTTATATTTATATATATCGGGTAATGGACATCCCAAGAAATGTGATTTGAAGTAGGTGAGATATTTTGGGAACAAAATAACGTTTATTGCGTAAATTCTCGAGACATGTTCCCCAACTGATCGTCCGGCTCATGGATCATGTACAAAAACAGTTAACTATTTAACCATTTCGAACAAGTGATCCGTGTTGGCCGAAACCCGCGCCAAAGCGCGTCAATTGTATTGGCGCAATCAGTCCGGCATACCCAAACCGAGGTTATTTGCAACCTCTGAGACTCAAACTGGCGAGCCGTTGGTTAGAAATCTAACAGCCTCAAGACTGAACGATCAGACGATGGAGATGAGAGCTTCCGAGATATCAATATGCATATAACTTGGTCCATGAAATCGGTTTTTCGACTGCGTCTTCTTCGGTAGATGATAAACACGATAAGTTATCTGGACCTCGAATCTTCGGGCATACAGTATGTGACCTATCTCATGAAATCTGATAACGTAAACTGATTAGAGAATTTTTGGACGCCTTGAACGTGGCGCATTTTGTTCACTGACCCATATCCTTCAATGAAATGTCATTTTCTTATGCAGAAATTGTGTTTGCATGATTATATCAAGTGAAATATCAGTAAATTTTAGCAAAAATAGACGTTGGAATATATTTTTGTAATTTCCTATGTTAGTACAAGTTCTAGACTCCAGTTACGTATCTGAGCGACTTTCGCATTGAAAGGATTTAGCCGGACTAGAAATTTTATATCATGTCCGATGTTGACCATGGCTATCAGCCTTATAACAAAAAGGTTATTTTAAGAAAACCAGAGGTTTCATCAATTTTTAAATGTCAAATTAGCAGATCTGTGCGATTTGGTGTCCTTGTGGTGAGGTACCTGAATAATTTACCTTTGACAATTTAGTCCCATTTCCTTTGACCGCATTGCTTGTTTGAATGTGACGAGAAACGGCACACCTGTACAACCCGCCTTGCTAGCGTGCTCTGCTGTGGCATTCTGTTGTCAGTTTTTCTTAACGTTCAAAAATCTCTATATTATTCAATGCTCCGATTTACTTGCTGCATTTAAGGCTAGGGGCTCGTAAGATATAGCTCGTTAGTTCGTGAGAACATTACGATTTACGACATTGGTGACTCCCGACGTTTACGCAGACTTTATAGCTTTCTGTCATACTGGATAACATTTAACGTACTATTTGCTTGTGAATATCTATTCCATTTACATTTACTTTCCTCACGAATTCTGATATTTTGACATCTCTGTCTTATTATGTCTCACTCCGATCAACAACTTGATGCCCCCGCCCAGTCCCTTCATGCAATCAATTTTACTTTGCCTGAATTCTGGCAACACGCTCCAGAACTTTACTTCATCCGCATAGAATCAGCCTTTTATTCTGCCAACTTTACCAAGGAGTTAGCAAAATACCACAAACTCGTGGAGGTCCTCCCCGCTAGTGTCATCTCTCAAGTTCAGTCCTTGCTAGCTAATCCTCCTGCAGATGCTCCCTACTCCGCGTTAAAGGCAGAAATCCTCCGACTTAATTCTGTGTCTGACCGACAGAGGTATCACCAGTTAATTAAGGAGGAGTCACTGGGCGACCGTAAGCCCTCAGAGCTTCTACGTCGGATGCGTTGTCTCCTTGGAGACATGCAAGTTGATGATAAATTTGTCAAGGAGATGTTCCTGGAGCGCCTGCCCACAGATGTTCAAACGATCCTGGCGTCCGGCTCTCAGGATCTCACAGTGTCACAGTTGGCTGAGATGGCGGATCGAATGATAGAGGTGCAACGAGTCCAGTCACCTTCCGTTGCCCAGATCTCATCCTCATCGTCAGTGAATGAGCATTTACTAAAACAGGTGTCGGCCATGGCAGATGAGATGGCCTCTCTTAAAATACAGCTCGCCCGCCTAACTTCCAGTCGCTCACGCAGTCGTCGTCGTTCTCGTTCGCGACCTCGGACTGCTGATACTTGCTGGTACCACACTAATTTCGGCGTAAAGGCCCGTCGCTGTTCCTCACCTTGCTCTTTTAAGCCAAAACAGGAAAACCAGTCAGCCAGAGAATAGATGCGACCGTTTTCTCTGGCTCCTCCGGCTCTGGTCGCACCTTCTATGTTTGCGACACTGCGACTCGCAGACGTTTTCTGGTGGACACTGGAGCTCAAATCAGTGTTGTTCCCCCAACTGCAGCTGATCGTCGTTTCCCTAGTCCTGGTCTTCATCTTCAAGCTGCTAACTGTTCCCCAATTCCCACTTTTGGCAGTCTGTCCCTCACCCTGAACATTGGCCTTCGTCGGTCATTTACTTGGATCTTTGTGATTGCTGATGTCCCTCATGCAATCCTTGGCTCGGACTTCCTTGCCGAGTTCGATCTCCTTGTTGACTGTCGACGTGCCCGTCTCCTCGACCGCACAACCGGTCTGTTCGTCCGTGGACCAACTCCATTTACTGTCCCCACCAACTTATCTGTCCTGGATACAGATATTGCTAGTCCTTTTCGGCAACTGCTGCTTAGTCACCCCAACATAATTAACGCTCAGTTTCGCAGTGGTGAAGTTCAACATGATGTTGTGCACCATATCCGCATACGTTTTCAGAAATATAACGAGCAGAACATTTTTAGTTTCAGCAAACTATCAGTATTTGTATGGGCGATCTGTTGGGCATTCATGATCAAAGAATGGAGTTTAAAAGCGAACAAAGACAGTGGAAATGGCCTCAATGTATAGGGAAAGGCATGTTCTTACGTTTACGGTAGAAACGTATTAGTATTGCTTAGGAAAGTGAAAAAAACCTCAAAGGTGTCAAATTTTTACTTGACCTCGCCGTGCAAAAATACAAAGTACACAGAGATCCCTCGACGGAGTGCAGTAATAAAACACTTTCTAAAGAGGTAACTTATTAAGGAAAGTTTTCTTATTAATCAAAGGCATATTCGTTGCTGCCTTTCGTTGTAAACAGTCATTTTTCTCGAAAATGAAGTTTGATGTTTAAGTGAGTCCTCACATGTGATCCAATCGACCATATTCGTGAAAAGGAGCGCCTGAACACTCATTAATTCGGTAAATGCATTCAAGAACAATCTTATTTTAAAGATCTAAACAGACAGGTAATTCAGAATCAGTCTTTATGGGCGATCGGGTGAAAAAACTGAAAATCATGAAGTATTCAGTAATATTTCGAGGCCGATCTGAATTTCAACGTAATCCAAAACGAAAGAAGAGTATAAATTAATTTTACGGGAGAAAAGTTCTCTCTGTAAACACAAAATGGTATGTTTACGATCACGCCTGTCAGTTCTATTTAAATTTATTAGGCACCGACCGGCCTAATGGCATGTCACCTTATGAAAACGTTTGATCCTACGACATCCCCATCGGCAAAATCAAGCAAAATCCAGCTTCTCTTATTGAACCCCATCTCATTTAACTTCATATCTTTAATGAAATTATGAAAAACTAAAAAACTGTTTTGGAATCTACACCCAGAATGTAGGCAGTTGACAAACCGTCATATATGAAGTCACATTATTTAGTAAACGATATTTAGATGTAAACTTCAATGAAACGCTGTTATTAGACGTGATTTTATGTCTGCTTTCATATTTACTGCGCGGTTGGTATGAGAATATATTGTATACATCTAAAAACGAACTTTACTTAATTAGAGCCGTTTGTGATGTTTTCGGGATATTGCGCTTTTCAAAATTAATCGACATTTCTAAGCAACGCAACACTGCCTTTAATAGTTCTTTTATGTTTTTAATTCTTTTAAACTTGTACCTAATTAACATAGACACCTGACTCATGAAATGGTGTCGGTTTGCGAGTGATTGACAATTATTCGCAAATTTCGACACATTTAATGAGTTAGGTCACGCACTATATATGTATGCAGTAGATGGTCTATCTCTTGAAATGACGTGATTGAAGTTTGCGTTGGTAGTATGACATATATTCGGTGTTGTTTTGAAGTTTATTGAATTGATTAAAGGGCCGGTAAACTATTTAGAGAACAATATTTCCTTCTGACTTTGCTTTCTGTAAGAAAAATCGGCCAGTTTTCTCGAAATCCGACTTTTGTTGATATCCAGGTAATTCCCAACGCTACTGAAAACCACAGGTCAAAAACTCGTATTTCATGCAAATTGGGCTATACACGAGCATAAATATAAGCAAGAAATGTTTGAAAAAAAATAGTTTCTAGGAAAGAAAAAACTGGGTTTTGTGTTTATTAAAATCAGGCGAAGATAGGCATGAAAAAATTGCATTATTTTCAAGAAAAGACGGACGAATTCAATTTTAAAAGTTCTGTTTTGCAAATGTGTGACGTTTTGTGCCACAAAACTCAGCAGTAAACTTGTTCGATGGCCGTTTTACCACATAGAGAGTTGTTAATCGTAAGCAAATATGTACGGAGTACCCACAACATTTAGGTACTCTTCTGTGTTACGCCGTGAGAGAAAGGTGACCAGACAGTTTCCATCAGCGGTCGGCTGCAAACAGATACGGGATTTAACAACGGAAGGGCCGCTGCATGAGTCGTCGGCAAGTATTTCCATTGGCAGTAAGGTGTCTCTGTGGCGAATTATTGACGATCGAACTGTCCGCCAAAATAAGTAGAGTGGGCCAAAACGGCCCACAAGCAAGTAAGACGATAATTTTATTCATCATATACTAAACATTAGTACATCTGCCGATGTTGTCTACGAACATAATTAGCAAAAGGATGTAGAAATTTGAACTTCACCAGCAACATTTCATGAACAAACTGTTTTAATCAAAAACTAATCAGAGAACGTTTTTTATTTGCCAAGAATTTTAAAGTACGCGAGTAGAACAGGGTTAAAATACGAAGCAGGCGGCAAGGCTTAACAAATCACTGTCAGCAGGAAATGCCAACAAACTATTTTTATGACGGGGATGAGAAACTTTCCAAAACGTCAGTATGAATACAACTTGGTCCATGAAATCGCCTTTTCTTTTTCGTCTTCTTTAGGAGATGATAAAACGATAGGATATTTGAACCTCGAATCTTCATAAATTTTTATATAGACTTAGGCATACTAGAAAGAAATAAGTCCTTCAGGAAACGCAACAGACTTTATTTTGTAAATTTTAGATACTGGTTCCCCAGATCGTCTTCACATTTGTAGCAAATATGCAAAACAGTTAACACTTAAAAGTGGGCAAAGAATCCATACCGTCATTTTGTTCCTGTCAATAAGGCATGGCCTTGGCTGAAATCTCGCTTTGATCGCTGACATTGTTCAACATTACAATAGCAATCACCCTATTGCTCATAAACGGAGTGCTGTTACCAGTCTACTTAATCGAGCAAAAACAAACTGCTCGTCCAACAAGAGTTACCAGATAGAACTTCATTACTTGTTCGAACGCTGCCCCAAAATGGGTGCGCCGGAAATTTTGCAAATCGGTGCACGAGACAAGAAAAATTAAAAGAAAAAAACAAGGACCTAGTTTGTTAAGATCCAGCACCCAAACAGAAATTCTGGAGAACACATGCGTACACTATAAAGGTGTCTGAACTCCCTCACAGACACCTGAGAAAAAATCAAATACAAGTGGCGCACAAACCGACGATCAAATAACGCAACCAGTTCGTACACCTCAAGGAAACAGTAAACTTTATTGTGTAAATTTTAGAGACTGGTTCCCCAGCTCGTCTTCAGACAACGGGTGTGCAAAAATAATGACTTCTTGACTGAGTCTGACAAAGGATTCTGTGATTGGTTAAAGTCATTTTCTCAGGATTGGTTGGATCAGTTTGAATCAGTCTTTACCGATTTTGTTTGTGGCATCTAGATCGATATGGCGGTTGATACATGTCTCGTCTGAGTGCATTGCCCCCAGGAATTCGCGACCCTTCCTTATTGGGCAGGCGCCAACAATGCCAGTGTTTTCCTATGCAAATTTGTGCCCAGTGTCCAGTGTGTGCATGGTCATCTGGGATAGATGATCACGTCTCTTTACCGCCAACTAATGTTCGTGTATACGGATTGAGACAGATTTACCAGTTTGGCCACAATAGACGGCATCACAACTAGAACATGTGATTTTGTAGACAAAACCTTTTCTTTCGAGGTAACCAACCCTGTCCTTGGGGTGTACAAGCTGTGTTCCTAAGGTAGTTACCGCCTGATGTGCTACGTGTATCTGGTACTTTTTTAACCGTCTTTCCACTAGTTCAGATATATTTCTCACGTATGGGAGAGTTCGTCATGCTGTTAGTTTTGGTGCCCGAATGGCCGTGGCATTGGAAATACCTTTTTCCCTTGAGTTGCTGGTGCCTCATGCATTGACGTATAAAGTTATGCGTGTACCCATTTTGGGAGAACAGTCTGTAGAAGTATTTCATTTCTGCTAGATAACTTGTTTCATCAGAGTAGTGGGTTTTGGCTCGATTCAGAAGGCTTTAGACTGTACTCCGTTTGTGAGAGCCAGGGTGGTTACTCTCAAGGTGTAGGATGACCTCCGAATACGCCTCTGTGCGATAAACTGATGTCTGAAGTGATCTATCGGTTTTTTGACGTACAAGGACATCCAGGAATAGGAGTTGTCCATTAACCTCTGTTTCGAAAATAAACCTGATTCCTGGAAATATAGAGTTAATGTTGGTATGGAGTAGATTCAACTGGTCTTTCTTGACGATGACAAAAGTGTCATCTAAATATCGCAGCCAAAGTTTTGGGTTAACTACGGGAAGGGCTATGCTTTCTAATTTCTGCAGTACGGCCTCTGCCAGGAAACCGGATATAGGTGAACCCATGGGAGCACCTTTTAATTTCCGACAGCATTGTTTGGAGAAGGAAAAATTTGTCTCCAGGGAGAGATCAAGGAGTTGAAGTAAAGCCTCTGAAGGCACATCAGAATTGGCGAAATAGGCACTTAGATATCTTATGGTTGGGTGCACCGATTAGGGAGACAATCGGTCGCAGCGGAATATCAGTTTTATGAATTTTGGGAAGACCATATGCCTTGGCAATCGTTGGTACATCCTTCTTTAAAGACTTGGCAAGAACTCCCAAACAAAATCTTTAAAGAAAAATGCAAAGTGACTCAACTAATCTCGAGGAGATGACGAATTGCCATTAACACGCATTAGCTCAGACTTCAGTCAATCACAGAATCCTTTGCCAGACTCAGTTTAGAAGTTGGATGTTTTTGCATTCCAATAGTCTGAAGACGAACTTGGAGACCAGTCTCGAAAAGTTGCACAATAAAGTTTACTGGTTCCCAAAAAATCCATTCTTCTTAATATATTTATATATGTTTATATATATATATATATATATATGCAGTATGTTATTACTGACAAACACAAGGGAGACTGGAATGGCCATTTCTGGCTTATTAGCCGTCGTCAGCTAGTCATACCCAATCCCGAAGTGTGGAACACCCGAGGCTCGAACTCGCGACCTGTTAGTTAGAAGTCCACGCCTCTAACCACTGGGCCACGAGCCCGTTGCCCTGTCGGTTTTCGATCGGGAATATACAATGGTAGGGGGCGCTCATCGATCGTTTCTACGTAACTCACTCGTTCCGTTGTGCCTTACGGGCTCTCTCTCGAGCCTAACTAGCAGCCGCACAGCGGTGCATGATGTAGGCACTATGGTATAACCGACAAAGACAAGGGAGACTGGAATGGCCATTTCTGGCTTATAAGCCGTCGTCAGCCAGTCATACCCAACACCGAAGTGTGGAACACACGAGGCTCGAACTCGCGACCTGTTACTTAGAAGTCTACGGGTTTCCACACGAGTGTTCCACACTT